CTTGGTAGCCCAGGCTGGCCTCGAACTCACAGAGATCTGCCTGCCTCTGCCTCCCGAGTGCTGGGATTAAAGGCGTGCGCCACCACCGCCCGGCTTTTATTTTATTTTAAATTTTTTTATTGTTACCTGTTAGCTCCGTCCTTTCCAGGTGACTCAGGGGCCCGGGAGTCCAATGCTCCTGAGGTGGAGAACTGAGGTACATCCAGCCTCAGAGGACCATGTAAGGGGAGGGCAGACCCCCAGGGCAGGGCAAGCACACAGGGCAGGAGCTGCCACTGAGTGGGGCCAGGCTGCTACAGAGAACGAACAGACTATAAAGCACTGGGTTTTTAATTCTTTTTATTGAAGAAAAGAAAAGGAGAGAAAAAATAGATTCCCCACCCCGCCTCTTTCCAGAGTGGTCTCAGTCCAGCCCCTGGGTCTCTGGGTCAGGACCATGCTCTCTGCCTGGGTCTGGGAGGGGCCCAGGGTCCTGGAAGGGAGTGGGGGGGGGGGTCTGGCTGCTTCCCAAGGGATAGGGGTGTCTAAAAAACGGAGCCAGGCTGGCGGGCCACAGGCAGTCCTCTGCAGTGGTGGCTGAGGTGGGGGCATCCTGGGGACGCTGGCCACACCAGGCCTGTCCGTGTCCACAGCCGTCCACCCGCCCGCCTGCCCGCTCGGGCTTGCCCAAGGAGGGCAAAGTCTGAGGCACCGTCTGGCCTCTGGAGCCCTGTGCCCGCGGGCCATGCCACCTCCTGTCCTGTGTCTGGCTCTGGTCCCAGCACCGCGGGCCCTCTGCCTGGCCGCCTCTGAGCGCCCTGAGGCCGGGGCTGGACCCGGCCCGCCACCGCGAGCGCATCTGTGCCCGTCCTATGGTGGAGCGGGCAGAGCAGCATCCCACCTCCTGGCCCGGTGCGGGGCCACCGCCCGCCCGCTCAGACCTCGGTCTGGAGGTCAATGATGTCCTGGCCAACCAGTGGGATGGTGGCACCCGCCTTCTCCCACTCCACACTCCGCAGCTCCAGCGGAGAAGGGGGCAGTGGCTCCAGCTCCTTCTTCACCCAGGCGGGCGTCCCGTGGGGCTTGCGGAGGCTCTCCCAGGCCCTCTTGTTGGGAGTCTGCTGTTTCTCTGGCTACTCGGTGCCCAGCGACGTAGGCAGGGCAGGGGCGAATGGGTGTGAGTCCGTGGGAGGGAAGGGAGGAGAGAGAGGAAGTCTCTTAGGGAGGGATTCCCAGAGAGAGCAGCAACCCCCGTATCCCAGCAGCCCCAGTCTTGGCGGTAGCTTCGAAGCTCCCGTGATGGGGCCAGGGTCAGTACTGTGGGAATGGACCCGCCAGACAGAGCCGGGCTCAGGCTCCTCCTGCCCTGCCCTTTGTACATCGGAGGGGACAGCCAGCGCAGGGGAAGACCAACCAGGAATCTAGTGAGTGAGGGTGGGAAGGAAGTGGGCAGAAGAAGCTGGTGGCGGCTGGCGCAGAGCCCACCCACCCTCCTGACCTTGCTGCTGTCTGCGCCTGGCACTTCCTTCTCCTTCTCAGCCGCGTGCTGCAGCTTCCGGTTCAGGTCCTGGAACATGTCCTGGTGCCGCTTCCGTGTGTGCATGATCTTCTGTGGGTTGGGGCCACGAGTCCTGAGCCAGGATGGGCATCCACAGCCACCCCTTTGTCCCACCTGCTGCTGGCCCCCGGGCTCTGACCTCGGGCCCTTCCCCAACTCCCACGTGCTGAAAAGGCCCTGGCATACCCGGCTTGTCTGTCCAGAGAGAGAGACACCCGCACTTACCTCAAAGTCCAGTTCTGCATACCGTGATTTCCGCCGCTGCAGGAGAAAGGGGTTGTGTGCATGGGCAACGTGTTCCCTAAAACTGCCTGGACCACACATCCAGGCCCCCCTGCCTGACAGTTGGGGAGACACCAACCTGCCTTCAGGGGACATGCTGAGGGTGTATCAAGTACCCAGGCTGCCTGTTCCCTAGGGACAGAGGCCCAGCTCTGGGTCCGGAGGGTGTGCTGAGACCAAAGGAAAACCCCCGGACAATGATGACATGGGGATGGGGTCTCAGAGCCCTTACGCCAAGGCTACCCCAAGTTCTCTGGGTGCAGTGGGGCCTCCCCCCCCCCCCACTCCAGGCCTATTCGTCCCTGCCCTCCCTCTGAAGTGTCCAGCTCAACCAGGCTATACACCGGTCAAGGAGACCTGATCTTGGGGCCACACAGCTGGACCCCTAACAGTGAACTCAGGGTGCTAGCTGCACTGAAGAGGTTGAAGGACAGATGGTGGTACATCCTAGGGTGGGGCAGGAACTTCCCCGAGGGTCCCATCCTGACCTCAGACCCATGTCCTACGGGCTGATCAAGGCGCAGGGGCAGTACAAAGCACTAGGCTGACCACAGAGACTGTTGCTATGTGGAATGGGCGTGAGTGCATAAGGATTCTGTCCCTGGGCCAGCCGGACCCACTTCTGACATGCCCTAAACCTACACAGCCTGGAAAGCACCAGCCCTTGCCTGGGGGGCGGGGGTGTCCACCCATCTCTGCTCTGCAGACCCCGAACCACCCTCACCTCCAGGGAGCTCACTGACAAGGTGGCCACGTTCTCATTCTTGGTCCCGGCACCTGAACTGGGTCCTGGGTGGGCCGCAGGCTCCCCTGTGTCCCCCAGGCTGGGGGGTGCAGGCTCCAGGGTGGGTGGTGGGGGTATGGGCTGCTGGGGTGGAGGGGGTGGTGGTGGAGGTGGAGGTGGTGGGGGCTGGGCAGGGGGCACCTCAGGGGGCGCGCCACCTGGGGGCTCACGGGTAGGTGGGCTCCGGGTGGGGAAGCTGGCGTCGGGCGCCATGCTGAGGTGGATGAGGCGGGTTTGGGGCATCTGGTCAATGTTGATGCTGTACTTGGGCTCCTCCTTGGGTTTGGGCCGGAGTGTGGCCGTGGCCGTGGGCAGGATCACGTAGCTCGTGTCCAGAGCCTTCTCCTGGGCCCGGCTCAGCTCTGAGTCCAGTTTCTTGAAGATGTCTCCATCTCCGATAAAGGAGGACTTGGGGGCCTTGTCCTTCTTGAGGGTGAGGGAGTGGTTGGGGAAGTCGGGCAGTGGCCCACCGGGGTAGCGGGGTGAGCTGTGCAGGTGCAGCTTGGACACATTAGCTGGGAGGCTGTTGAAGGTGGGGGGCGGGCCCTTGGCCAGCTTGAGCTTCTCCTCTTCGGGCAGTGACGGTCGCTTGAAGGTGCCTGTGATGGTGGCCGTGCGGCAGGCTGCGATGTCTTTGTTCAGCACTAGTGGGGAGCATTGGAAAAGGCAGCAGAGAGGAAGAGGGGGGTCAGAGTGGTGAGGAGGGTCAGCAGCAGCAGCAGCAGCAGCAGCTGCAGCAGCAGCAGCAGCAGGGGCTCAGCCTGGCCAGCCACTGCTGCCACCCTGGTCTCGACCCACACCAGCCCTGACACCCACTCCAGGCCCATTCATTCCATGCTGGCACTTGGACAAAGTTCCTTTGCCTTTTCCAATGAGGATGGCCCACACGGGTCATCTGCCTGCCTCCCAAGGTAACCAGATTGTCACTCATACATAGCCCATCATGGCAATTCTGAAAAGCGAGCGAGGGTGCCCTCTGCTGGAAAGCACAGGAACTAGGTACTTCCAGGCGGGCAGAACAGCTTCTTCCAGGGAGCCCAGGCTCCCCTCCAGTACTCCCGCCGGACACAAGTCCTTGAAGGGAGGTAGTGCTTGGCATAGGTACATCAGCCCCAAGAACCACGAGACCTGGCACATGAGCTCAACCCCTCTGAAGGTCTCTCCTCCCTTGGTTGCTCCTGTGCCTTGATAAAGTCCTTCTTCCTGAAGTTCCCATCCATCCACCTCTCTTGGTTAGCTATCCCAAGCTGTTCAACATTTGGCCTGGGCTCCAGCTCACCATATATCCCATCTGTCACTTGTCCATCAGCTTAGCCCCACTGGCCAGTAGAGTATCAGACTAGCTCTGAGTCAAGGCAGCCATCCTCCTGGACGTGCTCTCCGGAGCAAGGTCACACCCCCTTCTTAAGAAGCCTGGCCCAGGTCTGCACACTGCCTGTTCTGGTCACACCTAGCCCAGCCTTGGGGCCCACCCACAGCTCTTACCATTTCATCCACTATGGTCATCCGCAACATCCTAGTTTCCCAGGCCAAAGCTCCCTCACCCCCAAGCTCCCTCCAATGACAACCTTTGGCTCTTCCAGACTATCCCCCACGGCGGCAGTCTGAGCAAGAATGACGATAAACTTGAATAAAGAATGAGCCCCATAGGCTCATATTTAAATGCTTCGTCTTCAGGGAGTGGTACTATTTTAAAAGGATGAGGAGGCGTGGCCTTGTTGGAGGAAGTGTGTCACTGTGTCACTGGGGGTAGGCTTTGAGGTTTCAAAAGCCCATCCCATGCCCGGAGTCTCTCTGCCTATCATGATGTAGCTCTCAGCTACTGCTCCAGTGCCTGCTTGCATGTCACCAGGCTCCCCATCATGACGATAATGGACTAAAACTCTGAAACGGTTAAGCCAGCCCTCAGCTAGCTTTCTTTCATAAGAGCTGCCTTGGCCATGGGGTCCCTTCATAGCAATCGAACAGGGATTAAGACGCCCAGAACTGTCCTCCTTCAGTCCTTCCCCAATACCCCAGCAATGGACTAGCCATCTTTCCTCTCAATCTGTATGCCTATCTCCAAGGATCAACAGCATCTCAAGGACCTTCTTGGCCTGCACACAGCTCATCTCAGCCTCTTCCAGCAGGGACTCTGCCTCATTATGGACACCTATCCACGGACACCTATCATGAGCCCATCAGCTACATTCAACCCACAGCATCTTGTGCTTGACAAGGCCAGCACCCAACTCCCAGTGCCGGGGGTCACCTCTCGGTTAGGCTGTGGAGCTGGATCACTGAAGGCCAAGGAAAGGTTTTTCTGCCCCATCCCAAGGTTACCTCCTCCAAGAATCCCATCCAGGCAGCAGCTAACATTCCCCCACTTGGGGACCAGATGGAGTAAAGCCAGAGGGCCCCTCCACAGCCAGAGATTGTCTACTATTGTCCTGGCCTCTGGTTCTCAGAAGCTATGACTTGACACTGGGAGCATGGGGGAGGCACTGAGCCCCTTCTTGACTTTGGAAGCTCAGTGCTAGCCAAGTGCCCCAGCAGCAGGTCCTTCCCCTTGCTTTCCTCCCGCTACTGAGGTCTTCCACTCGCACAGGGCAACCTCCCCTCTCCCACCCCGGGTTAACAATGAAGAAATGAAGACAACACAGAACATGGGTGCTTGAGGGAGGGCAGCAGGGGGGCAGGTGACAACGGAGTGTACAGGCAGAAGCAGAACCATATCTGCTCTGCCCTATGAGGAGGACAAGGGAGAGACAGACATGTGAAGGGGTTACCAAAGATGGTCCCAGCCCAGCATGGGCTCCATGACAGCTTTCTGGGGCTCACACCCACAGGACTCCTGAAGCCTCGGGGAGGAGGGAGCCCAGGCTGGGCCACGTGAGAGCGGGTGTGGGATGGGGACAGGTAGGGCGCATGGATGCTGGGAGTAAAGAAAGAAGCAGATGGGCCGACTGGCCACCGTGGCTCTCACCTGTCAGGCGCTCACCTGATCTACAGGCCAGATCCACATCCTTCTCAAAGTCAGTCTGCAAGACAGAGACCGAGGGCAAGATGAGGCCAGGGCTGGTGGCAAGTCGGGCTGCAACCTTCAGCGTGGTAGGAAGGGGGCCACCAGAGCCACACCCACACCTCAGAGGTCACAAATAGGCTGATACTGTCACCAAGAGCCCCAGCCCACATTATTAGTCCACGGGCCACATCGTGTGGCCATGCATCTGTTATGTTTGTCTATGCAAGCATGGGTGTGTCTGTCAGCATTCACATGCATGTGTGAGCTGTGTGTTCGTGGCACGTGTGCCTCGGTGAGGGCAGAGGACTGTACTGTGTGAGCATGAACACGTATGTTGAGAGTTTTGTGTATATGACTCACACTTCTGTGCATTTTTGTGAAGGAGCATATGCATGTTTCTCCATGCATCTGTTTGTGACTGCCTGTGTGTGCAAGCTTGCGTGCGTGTGTTCAACCATGCGTGCTCTCCCTCCAAGGCATCACGGAGCAGCCGGCCTCTGCCCCTCTGGCCATGCTCCCCCAAAAGCCATGCAGCCACCAGGGCTTCCAAAGCCTCTGCCATTCCATCCAAGACAGACAGCAGGGACAGACACAGACCTGGGCCAGCACCAGCCTCCCCTAGAGCAGAGACATGGTCCCCGCTGCATCTCTGAGGACAGCAGCTGGGGAGGCCATAGTGGTGACCCAGGACCACCTTAGGCGCTTGGGTCTAGAAGACCCATCCAGAGGCCACAGGGCTCCAGGGGGGTCAGTCTGGCCTTTAATCTCAAACTGGAGGTCTTTCCCTGAAATGCAGGAGCCAGGATGCTGGGAAGGTGGCAGTCATCCCCTGAGGTCAGAGGTCAGGCCAAGAGAAACATCAAGAGGAGGGAAAGCTGTGTCCCCAAATGACAAAGTACCTGTCCAGCTGACACTTGTTCCCTCTAGATGGTGGCACTGAGGCCCAGAGGGTTGGCCCTGTGTAGACACCACTTGGAGATGCTCCCCAGTGCCTCACTCACCCCTGGGGTGCAAGACATCTGGGACAACATACGGGTGATGCCAGAGGGGCAGGAAGCTGGCCAGCAGAGCCCAGGGCTCTGCTCAGAGGCTACTGTGCCTAGATCCCATAGTTGAAGCAGTCTGAATGGGTAAACTCACAGTTGACTTGTGCACAGTTCTGGATGGGCCGGCTTTGAAGAAGGCAGAGATGCACACCAGCCCCCACCCAACTCACCAACAGCCTTTCCCAGCTCAAAAAAGCGGATCGAGGATTTCCACTTGGCCTCAGTTTCCCCAATTACGAACTGGGCTCAGAGTTCATCTACTAGGGCTACCAGGGCCCAGCAACAACTCTGGGCACAGGGAGGACCTAGAGGTCCCGGTAGGACAGCTGGCAGCCCCAGGCAATCAGTCCTACCATGAGCTGGGCATGGCCATTCTGGAAGGAGCCCCCTGAGTCCCCGTTGCCTTCCTCTTGGCGGTCTACCACGCGGCACTTCACAGCGTCCTGGACCTGGAGGAGGGAAAGCATGTCAGAAGAGACACGGGCCCATGCGGCACCCGCTGCAAGAAGCCGCCTTGCAGCTCAGCAATGCCCCTTGTGCTAGGAGGAGAAAGGATGTAAGATGAAGACATCTGGAGTTTCCCGATGCTGGGAAGGTGCTGCACACTCCACTGGCGGGAAGCCACTGTAAGAACATTAGCCTAAAGCAGGTACCTGGCTTCAGGGCCAGTCAGCACCCCCAAAACCCATCCCGACTGCAGGCAAGGAGCCTGTTCCTCATGGCAGGCTGTATGGACAAGGCTGAGGCCAGCCACAAGGTCAGCCTAGATCTTGGCAGGAAGAGCCACTAAAGGAACTGGCTAACCACCCAGGATGGTGTCCAGCATGAGGAAGGACACAGGATCAAACATCATCCTGAAACCCAAGAGAGAGCAGTGAGATGCTGAGACCTGCATCAGGACCATACCCAAGGGCTGGAGCTGGCAGCTCCACATGCTCACCCTACCCAACCGTGGAGTGGTGAGCCCTTTGGCTCTTGGTCACATGTCAACTTCCTGACCACAAGGCTTTTCTGCAGACGCCACTCCTAGGGACAGATCTTAGTGGGATGCTCCGCTACTCTGTTGACATCTGTCCTGTTACCTTCCTGGAGTGCCTACTTCCACTTTCAGTCGGCTGGCCCTGTAGAAGCCAGAACACTGAGGGAGGAGCAGAGGGCAAGAGTGTGATTTCAGAGCAGATCAGTGGCCTTACAATAGGAGGCTAGACTCTCACCTGCCTGTGGGCTACAAGTCAGGGCACCCGGTGCGGGGCCAGGGAGCTACCAAGAACTGTGGATGCAGGGCTCAGGTAGCCAGGACAAGGGGGCTCAGAGGTCGCTCTTGGCCTGTGAGTCTCCACGGTCACAGCTGAGTGACACAGGACTGGCACCGGGAGGGGGAAGGAGGGCACAGGCCTTGTGGGAATGCCTTTGCAACTTCAGGCATCCCTCTCTCCCAGGGTGCTCCTCCAGAGCCTCTCTAGAGGAGCAGTGGCATCTGACCTCTTCGCTGCCCTGCCAGCCCAGTCTCTTCCGTCAACTGAGGTCCCTGGTTCTTGCAGCTACGGTCGATTCTTTGCCCTCTTACACCTGCTGCAGTTCAAACCTCTTAGCATCAGTCTAGGAGGTTAAGAGGAGAATGGAGGCAAAAGGCTCTTTCTAGGTCCCAGCCAGGTCCCTGCTCTATCTGGAGCAGAAGCGGGTCTGTTGAGGTAAGATGTACTTCTGTCCACATGCAGCCTCTCTGAGGTCAGGACAGCCATTCAGTCTCCTTACTGCCTCCTGGTGGTGGCCATCAGGACATAGTTGGATATGAACCTCATGTTCTCACCTTCTGAAAGGTTCAGAAAACACTCCAAGCATCTAGTTAGTGCTGGCTCTCCTACTCTGCCCTGTCAGCCACAGACCTCCCATAGCTGATGAGGTATCCTTGAAAATGAGCTGTCCCCCCAAAGGGGGGGCCATTCCCAGCAACCCTGGCTCCATGCTGGGTACAGGTCCACCTCGAGGGGCCCAGGGCGCCCACCTCTCTGCGCAGAATGCAGTGGACCATGACGATGACGAAGCCCTCCAGTGAGTCGAAGACCGCAAAGAGGATCTGGAAGAGGGCGGAGCGGCGGTCGGTGACGGCGAGCACGGCAGACATCCAGGTCAGCGCCAGCAGCGGCAGCACCACGCAGGAGCTCCACAGGGAGGCCCTGGGGATGGAGGGCGTCAGGGCGGCCCCCGTGGGCGCGCCACCTCTCCTGAGGACACCCCTTTCCCCCATCCCCAGGCCTGAGGGCTTGCAAGGGACCCGGCAAAGGAGAGGAGCTCTTTGGGAGAGAACTGGGACCCTGTCCAGGAGGTGACAGAAGGGAGACACACAGGAAGGGTACAGAGATGGGAGAGATGCACAGAGCAAGGTAGCCAGCCCCTGATTCCATCTTCCGGGCCCTGAGCCCTGGACCCAGAGCCCCAGGGCCCCAACTGCAATACAAGGTGGCTGGAGGGGACGGGAGTCTTGGGAGGTACTGAGAGAAGGAGAGAGAGAGAAAAAAAACTGTGAGGGAGAGACAGGACAGACAGTGGACAGTTGGACAAGGCCAGAGGGTCAGAGAAGAGACCAAGACAGACAGAACAGACACGAAGGGTGTTCTTCCTCTTCCGGAGCTGCAGCTACCCTCCTGAGTCTCAGTGCCCTCCTGTGGCCCCAACCTGAGCCAGCCCTGCCTTCAGTACTCAGTCTCTTCTCGGAGCACCTGGCTGGCACGGGGAGCCTAGCAGCCTGAGCCTTCCACGCCCTCCACCAGTACCCGGCCTGCACGTCAACCACCGAGCATCCCCCCCCCCCCCATGCTCAGGTAGGGACATGTGCTGCCTTGAAGCCGTGGGACACGTCAGTGCTTGAGAACTGTGCCTTGTCCCCAACCTCAGCACCGCTGTGGTTCCCAGGAGCCACTGTGGCCTGTCTGTAGCCTCTGCCATTTCTAGGAGTCAGGTGGACATCGGGATCACTTATTCTTGCCCTATTGGGGGTCATACTGTCCCCCCAAAGGAGCAGATGGGAGAAGGGAAGTGAACACAGAGTAGGATCTAGGGCATCAGGGCTTAAGGGAGAGGCTAGAGGATCTGAGGGCCCAGTTGGGCAGAGGATCCCCCAAACTCCCACCAAACCAAAGAGTACAGCCCTGACAGGGGTCCTATGTGGGGTCTGGCCTTGCAAGGACACAGCCATCCTCACGTCTCTGGCCTCTGAGGCCACATAGCTGACTACAGCAGCCCTTTACCATGGCCTCTACTTTCGTGCCTTTACGAAACCATGCTATTCTGACCCCAGGGAGTTTCCTGCCCCCAGCCATAGTTATCATCACTTGGGGGACATAGAGGCCACCCATAGCCAGGCACACACTCAGGACTGGCTCTCCCAGATCTCTGTCAGCTCACCTTGTGCCCAGCTCAGGCCCAAACTGGCAATCATCCTGATGACCCACCCTTCCCTCAATGCCCTGAAGTGTGGGCTCCTAAACTGTACCTCATACAGCCTCCATTTCCAGTCAACTATATGATCTATCATCCCCTTCTTAGAGGGAACCCCATGCGAGGCACAAAGCTCCAACTCCTGGGTCCCTGCTGACCCCACCCATACCTTTTGCTGGAGCTGAGGATGGTGTGAGGCCTCCCCACACAGTGCCAGCTACTGCACTCCCCTCCCCCATGGCTGCAGGAGCCAGAGGCATCCCCCATCCCACCCCCACTGTGGGCTCACCCCCCCTTCAACCCAGTCCCATCCCCATCTCTGAAGGTAGAGCAGAACAAAGGCAGGCTGGCCCTCTAGTACATGACTTCCTGTCTTGGGCAGGGTCATTCTCAGCTCCAGACTTGTTTCCACCACAGCACTGAGCCCAGTGACACCTTCCCTCCCCTTCAAAGCAGACATTCTTTGAGCCAGGACCTCTGACACCAGATGTCGCCATTGTCTGGTACAGGAACAGAGTCCCCCCTGGCTTCCCATAAGGTCAGTCCTGTCATTTCTCTATCTCCTCCAGGCCACCAGTTTCCAAATCACTTCCCCAGGGCCCAGAGGAAGAGGAGCCACAGGCTCCCTAGGGACTCAGATACCTCCGAGCACCAGAAGACCTCCTGTGAGGCCTGGGTGTCACCACCTCTAGCTGGTGCCTGACCCTCGAGATCCAAGGACTCAGCTGCTTAGCTCAGGCTGGACCTGAGTTCTTCTGCACTCCATCCAGAAAGACTGCTGGTCCAAAAGGTGGCCACTGGGGCTCACAGCAGTGTGGGCCCATCGTGGGGACAGGCTACTCTGCTTGGTTGGTTTCTATACCATGCACGTCCTCTTACCCATCCAGCCTAATCTGGCCCTCACATCTGCCTAAGGCACCAAGAGTCCTGGGCTCCAGTGCCTGCTCCGAGAGTGAGCACGAGGACCTGAGAAGTGTTTGGGGTCTCTGCTATTGCTATGACCTGAAGGAGGCAGGGGCCTGGACAAGATGACCTTCTATGCTGAGCTCCACCCACCCAATCCAGCTATGTTGTCACAGCCAAGTCAGTGGATCAGCATGTCTTGTTCTTTGTATCTTGTCCCCATGGTTGTATCTTCCTGTGCACCCACACAGACACACAACACATATACCCACAGGGCATAACACATCTCAGTGATACATGCACCTAAACACCTTTGTCCATGCCCAGTTATATTCTTACAGTTATACACTTACAGGTACAACACACACACACACACACACACACACTCACACCTACTCACCATTTACTTGCTTGCGAGTTCACACCTGCACACTTTTCTCCCCCATGTCTGCCCGCATACCAGTCACTCTTACACACGGGCACTCACTCCCAAGCACAGCAGCACACTGTCCACACACCCAGCTACTCTCACATATGGGAACCCCTCTATGCACACCTGCACACTGGAAGCACACCCACTCCCACACATAGGCACCGCTCCTATGCACACCAGCACATATATACTGTATACATATTCTTATATACATGAGCAACACGACATGTACACTCACAGGTTCATTACCTGCCCCCCCCCAGGGGCCCCCCCAAACACTCATATACACACACTCACATGACTCCATCACCTATCCACTTGTCTTGTGGAGGTGGGGCTGAGGCCAGGCTCTGGGCCAGCATTGTTGGGGGGCCTCGGGGAGCAGCAGGAAGCAGTGCAGGCCCCACTCCAACCGTCCTTGGAGTCAGTCCCATTACTACCTCAGCTGACCCACTCCTTGCCTCCCAAGTGTCTTATATGCTGCATAGATAGCAAGCCGGCCTTGAGTCGGGAGAGACGAGCTTGCAGGCAGAGGGCAGGGCTGCCTTGGAAATCCAGAGGGGACGACGGCAGAAATGAAAGAAATGAAAGAAAAACATAAAAACGAACAAAAGTGACTCAGGAGAGAGCGGAGCCCATACAGGGCTGCTCCAAGGTGGCAGCAAGGCACTAACATGGCGTTACTGGTGGCATCGGAGGTGGCTTCGGCAGCAGAGAGGACTCCGCACTCGGCACACGGGAGGGTACGCCCGAGGCGGGGCGCGGGCAGCTGACTGCAAGTGAAATCAAAGGCTGAAACAAAAGCAAACAGGTTCCCTCGAAACCGTGAGGCGAGGAGCAGAGACGGTAGCCTGAGGCTCTCAGCCATCTAAGGGACCCAAGCCTAGGGCAGGGAGTGAGATGGGCAGGACCCAGGCTGCCAGCATCTGCTGACTGGCAGCATGCCTCTGTCTCTAAGTGTCGAGAGGAGCAAGATCTGAAGGAGGCCTGATATCCTTCCTCTTCCCACACAGGCACGCCAGAGGTTAGCTCATGGGCTGGGTCATGGGAGAAGGGTCCACCTGCAGGCCTCACAAGGAAAGCAGAAATAGGCTGAGCTGTATGGTAACCCTGTCCATGTGTGCGAGTGCATGAGTGTGAGGGAGGTGTGTGCATGCACACGCAGCAGGTAGGTGTGTGTGTGTGTGTGTGTGTGTGTGTGCGTGTAACATGTGTGCATGCACACGCAGCAGGTGGGTACCTTCCCATCTAAGCATTGGCCCAGGACACCCGCAACTGGGGTCTGATTCCAGCTCCCCCAGCTTTCCCCATTCCCTAAACCTCTGTCTACTTGGATACGAGGGCATATAGACTTGGCAGCTTCCCTGTGGCTATTCTAAGAGCAAATCAAGCAGACCCGTGCTGGAGCATGCAAGGAGACCTCCACACCTACAACCCCAGCCACAGCTCAACCCACGCACGTGCGTGGGGCTCGGACTCTGACGTGGGCCCACTGTACTGGGGTAGACAGCAAGGCTGAGGCTAGAAGCTCAGGCCCAAGCTCTCCGCCACAGAGCACCCAGCACAGGGACAGAACTCTCTTAGCCCATTCAAGGGCTCTAACCAGGGCCAGAGCCCACCAGACACCCAGAGAAGTCACTGGGCAGAGAAGGAGGAACCAGAAAAAGAGAGACAGTGAGACAGAGAAAGACACCGAGCAAGACAGGCACAGAGGGGAAGGGCAGGGGTAGGACCCCCACAAAGACACCAGTACACCAGCTGCGGGATGTAGAAGGCGGGGCAGGGAGGAGAACTCTGGGCAGGGCAAGGCTACCACCCCAATCTCCTGTGACCCTGTATGTCCCTAAGCTGAGGCAGCAGTGACCCCCATGTCGTCCCTCACTCCCAGGACGACTCACAGAGCAGGTGCCTGAACAGTGTGGGAGGAGCACTGTCCACCTGTCCCTAGCTGTCCTCCAGTGATGAAGGCACCAGGCAGGCAAGGCCTCTTATGGGGTCCAGGGCACAGGGAGAACACTCCCAGCCTCGGGCCTGGGGTGCCCTCCCACTAGCCTGAGCCCAGCAAGGGGGCTCTCTTTGAGAAATGAGCTTGGAGATGTTTCTGGAGACGCTACAGGGTCCCACCTTGTTACAGGTCAGATGAGGAAACTGAGGCACAGAACAAGACCAAGACTGACTGGCTAGAAAAGGCCTTTGTATTCTGTGCCCCAGTTTCCCGACCTGCTCTCTGACACCCGAATTTGTCAGGCTGGATTTGGGACTTAATGGTGGGTGGGCTCTGGGTCTTTCCAGCCAAGAAGGGCAAGGTGCCAGGGCCACAGGGCCTACCCTGCCCGCTCCTTCAGCTTCTTGTCCGTGATGCCGTCCTTGGACACGAGCTTGTTGAACACCAGGATCCCGATCACCATGTTCACCTGCCGGGCAGAGGCAGGAGTGGGCCAGAGCCCATAGGTGCCCAGATCAGCAATGGCCAGGCCCAGAACGTCCACAGGCCTCCAAGGGCTACTCATGTGCCCCCACAATTCAGGCCCCAGTGCTGGCCAGGTGGGTCCATCCAAGAGCCCTGTCCTCAATGTACCCCACACCACCAACACCCCTCCCCTGGCCCCTGATGATGGTGAGCTCCTAGCCCAGGGCCAAGGATGGCTTCCCCGGCTGATCTTGGGCACCCCTTGTTCCTGATCTCCAAGACCACTGACCCTCAGCCCCACTAACAATTTCCCCTGGGTGCATCCTGAGGGCTTCTTAGGGCCTCCGGCGCATCTCTAAGCTGCTAACCAAACTACTACACAAGGTAAGAATCCTTCCTAAGTCCACTGTCAGAGGCTCCATGCCCTGGGGACCCTGGCACCTTGCTTCTCTTTGGCTGTCTCTGCCAGGATGTGGGATAAGGGACAAGGCCTTGCTCAAATCTCACTTCTTATCCCCACTTCAAGAGAATCCCTGAGGGTCCCTAGGTAATTCCTTTTTTTTTTTTTTTTGTAGAAAGGCTGCCAGGACCTAAAGGCTTTGGCTTGGCCCTAAGGGGCAAAGGTCAAGGTGGAGAGACACTCTGGACTCCTGTGCCAGGGATCATGCCCAGAGGCCCAGGGGCTGACAGCTTCCACGGCTCTGCACAGTCAGGATTCCAAACACAGGGCCGCTATCTCCTGGTGTAGCCCTGCTTCCGAGCTTGCTGACCACACAAGAGCCGGACTGCAGGTGTCCTCCTAGGCCAGGCTACCCTTCTGCAAGAGGCTCCGCTTGGCTGTCACAGGAAGAGTGGCCAGGGCACAGGATCCTGTGATTCATGTGGATAAGTCGGGGTAGGAGCTTCTTTCTCAGCAGCCCTCACGCAGGCCCTGGAGCCTGTTCTTTAAATGACACCTGGTCTAGCTGGTCGGCAGCTACCCTCCGAGGCACTGCCAGGGATGCCCACCTGGCCTTCCGTTTGGGTGCCTCTGAGGAATAAGGAGCAGGGTTCTGGTAACCACCCAACGGTCTCTATCCTGCTACACACTCTCCCCAGACCCGCTGCTCACACTCGGCAGGGTCAGTTACTCCTGGGCCACCTGTCTGCTAGACTGACTCGAGCCAAGCTCCCTAACCATCCCTCCTTGACAGAGGGTGAGACCGGGAGACAAGGACTAGAGAGAGAGAGAGAGAGAGCGCGAGCGAGCATCTACTCCCATGCTGAGCCAAGCCATTCCTGGCCCTGGGCCAGTCCCCAGCTGTAGTTTTTTTTTTTGGACTCTCCTCCAAATGGGCATGTCAACCGAAGGGCCAGGAAAAAGCGGGGTCTCTCTGACACCAGGAAACAAGCGGCCCTCGCTCTTGGCACTCTGGGTGCCGACAGCTGTGGACATGCACGACCCGGGCCACGTCTGCTCAACCCTTGCAGCTGCGGCTGTCCATCTGTCCATCTGTCCCCACCTCCCTGTTACTCACCAAAACCTGCAAGGGCCTCCTGGCAGATACATAATCAATGCCCGATACCCAGGCAAGCCATGGTCAGGGAGGTAAGAGGACGACAGTGTACCACACTGAGCGACTGCAGTGGGGGTGGTGGTGAATGGAGCTGGTGACCAGACCCCCACAGGCCAGCCAAGGGGCCACATAAAGACCCAGGGGTCCAGCCTGGGAGACAGGGGAGGGGAGGGGAGGGGAGGGGCTGGGTCAGTACCAGCACAACTGTAGCAGCTGGTCCCACGAAGGCGTACAGAAGTCCCCCCTCCAGGGAGAGCCAGCAGCTGGGGAAGAGACAAGCTGTCAGTACTCAGTCAGCCCCATGCCCACTTGGCAACCAATGTGTCCGGAAGAAGTACATGAACTAACTGGGTGGCCGTGAAAGAAACGGGGAAACCTGCACACAGTTCTTTTGGTTTGTTTGGATCCCCAGGAGTCCCCATGCAGCCACTGTTACCTCCACTTACAAATGGAGGCATGGCCCAGTCCAGGGAATAGGGCACGCCTTCTCAGAAGCCCTGGGGCTCCCCTCTGCCCTCTGTGGGTGGGGCGCTTTCTGGCTCTTTCTCGGAGTCTCTAGCAGACCCTCCTTGACATGAGGTTCCTGGCCTAGGTCAATAGTCCTATGCTCATTTGCCTAGCTCTCCACAGCCCATACTACCCATCAGCCCCTAGGAACCATCCATGGTACCCCTAGGAGATCAAACCAGTAAGTCAGTGGTTCTCAACCTTCCTAATGCTACAGCCCTTTAGTAGAGCTCCTTATGCTGTGGTGACCCCAACCATAGAATTATTTTCATTACTACTTTGTAACTGTGATTCTGCTACTGTACTGTTATGAACCAAAATGTAAGTTTCTGATATGCAACCACGTGTGGGGGTCATGACCCACAGGTTGAGAACCACTGCCACAGAGGCTCCTTGGCATGCCTCCCCCCGGGCTTGTCCCCACCTCTGGCCTGGGCGTTCTAGCCAAGGATGCTCACTCAATACATTCCTTTTCATTCTTCAGCATCTCCAGTCTGTGTCTCCAACATGGCTCAGATCGAGGGACTCCAGAGCCCTAGCACCTACCTTCCTGGGGCTCCAGAGTAATTTAGGTTTGCTCTGACCCCCACCACACTCTGATGGTTTTAGCCACCATCCCTACCCGGATCCTGACTAGTGTGAGCCAGACAACCCCTCGGGTCTTTTTTCCCTCTTTTCCTGAGCCTGGGTTGGGGGAGGGGGCTGTCTCTGCCCATGGAGCCTACACTGCTTTAGGTCAGCTGTGGGGCCCCAGGGCTTCATCTGTGAAATTGACTCACACCCCTATAATGCCCACAGGAAGGGTGTACCTGCATCTATCCCCTGGGGGGGGGGTGTCTCCTCAACACTTCTACACATGGGGATGAGGACTCTAGAGGCTCATGGCCATCAAGATCAGACAATGAGGAAGGGAGCAGGAGGCCCCAGGCATTCTTCTCATCTCCCTGCCCACAGGACCTGACTGCCTAAGGCCCCCCCCCCTCCTAAGCCTGGCTGACACAATGCCAGCAAGGCGGGGCATCCCCCCGGGTCTGCAGAAGGCTATTCCATGCCCGCCTGCCCAACTCACTAGTTCATGGTGCTGTACCCCTTGGCCTTGGTGAATCCCACGGAAATGGCCACCACCAGTGCAGGGAGCCCTAGAAGAGGACCAGAAGAAAGGGGGTCAGTCCTGCCATCCCCTGCCCACATGGGCCAAGGGACAAACTGCATGAGGAAAGTCCCAAATGAGGGCACCACTACAGGGAAGGGGTGGACAGGGCACGGGTAGGATGATGAGAGCTGGGAGAATGCTACAGGACTGCAGATCAGAGGGTGAGCCGTGGCCCGTTACCACTCAATCTCATAGAAAGAGGGTATCGTTTTTTTAGAGCATGTGCCCCAAGTACTGTGAAAGACACAGTATAGTGTTACGTGTCATCTGAATGCGCAGGGGCCTGGCTGGGCTGCACTTTCTGGCAATCTTATAAAGAATTGGAGGCCCCAAGGGAGAAGCCAGGGTGGCAAATGGAGACTCTGGGAGCGGCAGGAACAAGCAGAGAGCTAAGACAAGAATGCCAGGAACGGAGACAGCCTATCATCCTACTCAGGCTGCCCATGCCCTGAGGCTTTACTTACCCCAGCCCGCTGCCCGCCCTCTGCCCAGCTGCCCGCCCTCACTCCTGGCCACTAACCCCAGCCCACTGCCCGCCCTCGCTCCCAGCTGCTGATCTATCCCCCAGCAAGCCCTAGCCACAGTCCACCCTCCCTTCCCCACCCCAGCTGCCCTGCTCACCCCAGCCCAGGCAGAGAAAGCGCTTGCGGACGAGCCGGCTCCGTAGGCGGCCAGTCACGGCCATGTAGGACTGCCAGGCCTCGGTGAGCACCCAGCAGAAGGAGGACAGGAAGAAGAAGTGCAGGAAGGCAGCCACCAGCGTGCACACAACCTGGGCAGGCAGGGGCCAAGGGGACTGGGCAGGTGCTCACTGGTTCTCACCCATCCCCCGTGTGCATGTGGCAACGGCTGGGAGAAACCCAGCATCCAATGACTTTGAGACCAGCCAAGTTCCTAGGCAGGAAGCAACCTGGTCCCCCCACCCCTCCCGGAGAGAGACCACTGAAGCCCTAAGGCCTGGGGTAGATGTTCATCCTCCTCCTCTAGCTGCCAGTAAACTGGGCACAGAAGCCCACTGAGGAGCTCCTGTCCGGCCCTTCCCTCAGCAGGGATGAAATTGAGGCCGAGGGTCAGGAGGAGTCACACTCTCAGACCCACATCAAATCACAGGCGAGCCCACTGTGACTGGGTTTCTGCCACAGCACACAGCAGTCTCTGGGGCTGGGCCTTCTTTCCGTCTCCAACATATTAGGGTGGCCCATGAAGACCCCTCCCAAAGCCTAGCCTCTGGGTCACATGTGGCAGGACAGGGTGTGGAGATCACAGGGTGGGAGTGAGGAAGGGGTCCTAGGAAAGGCAAACAGAGGGTGGCTTCCCACACTGAGCTGCCCAGTTCACAGCTGGCCAGGGTCGGGGTGGGGGGTGGGGCATCTTCACCACACCTGAAAACACAAGGCTACGCAGGGCAGGACAAGAGGCCGCCTACCTTGTTGCGGGTCTGGGTCTGCCCGATGAGGATGAGAGCATTAGAAGAGATGATGGACAGGCAGAAGTTGATGAGGATGACAGACCGCTCTGAGCGAATGTACCTGTGAGAGGAGTCAGGGCCTGAGGTCAGCACCTAACAGGGAATCAAGGTCATGTGGCCTGTCCAAGAAACAGTGTTCCACTTCCTCCCTGAAATTACCGCCTCTATCATTACCATCATCACCATCGCCACCATCACCATCATCACTATCCCCCATCACTACCACCACCATCACCACCACCACTACCACCAAGACTACCCCAATCATTACCACCAGTACTACCTACCACCAGTACCACCACTACCACAACCATCATCCACCACCAACATAACCTTCATCACCATCACTATCATCATCACCACCACGATCACCATTGTTACCATCCCCACCACTGTCATCAACAACAACACCATCACTGTGGCCAATCACAACCCACAACCAGGGCTACCATCACTGCCATCCATCAGCATCAATCATCAAGACTATGAACCACCACCAGCCATTGGGGAAGGAGAGAGACCCACCCAGGTAGAGATCAGAGAGAAAGGGTCTTCAGCTAGCCTTTGGGGCTTGACATGCTTGATGTAGGCAGAGCCCTTATTGCATCTGCCCCCCCTCCCCCCGCTACCCCCCCTCCCCCTGCCACTCCCTAACGGGCCATCAGAACAGTCCCTGTCTGCAGCAGCTCACAGGGCACAGCGATGCCATCAGTGCTCACTAAGGAAGGTGCTTTGAACACCAAGTAAACCTCCTCTCCGGGTCAGAGTTGAGCCCAGCCTCTGAGCTCCAAGCTCGAGGATGGTGTGAGATTCTGAAGGGCTGCTAAGAGGGAGTCCTGCGAGAAGCATTCCGGATGCTCCGTCTTCGGGAAGAACAAAGGGCAGCCGACGCTAGAGGCTGCACAGGCTGCCCCTCTCCCACTAGCCACATCGATCTCCTGCTGCCTGACTGCAGGCAGGGACGGGCACATCAGTTTCGATTATCGGCTACCATCACACACGGGGTAGAGAATTGGAACAGCCGGTCACAGGGGCCAGCCGTCACATGGGGAGCCCTAGGACAGCTCTGTGGACAGTGACCTTGAATGTACCTCACTGCAGACTACCAGGTGGGGTTAGATGCTGGTGAGCAGGGAGAAGGCCACCCCACTGGCACATGCCCATGGTTACATATACCTACTGGTGGGGGCACTGCCCAGACACATCTGTGACCTGAGTAGGCTCAGCCATTAAGAGAATTCACACTATGCAACCCCCATAGCCTACACACGGGCAGATAGGGCCTAAGGTGGACCTGGGGGTCCTTGATGATCCTTGTAGCCTTGGGAGCCCAGTGCAGGAAGTTATTTCTGACCCCAAGGAGTTTGTAGGTCCTTTGTATGAGGGTGCCCAGGGATAGTGAGTAGCCACAGGACTCCAAGTAACCAAAGGATGACCGCTCTAGGTGTCCAGCTGGAGCCTAAGCTCAGAACTGGTGTCTGTCGAGAAGTGTAGTCAGGTGACAGCAGGGATGAGGACCTGTGTGTTCAACATGCCCCTCACCCCCATCCTTCCTCTGTGACCCGAGTGACACAGCAATCGGAAACCTGGAACGGCAACGCAGGCCGCATCGGACGGAGCGGGCAGCATGGTCCAGAGTAGATGGTGCGAGGGGGAAAGGGAGGGCTGGATCTCCGGGCTCTGGAGCAGGCACCCACCTCCATACAGACACGTAGATGATGACCAGCATGAGCAGGGTGAGGGAGGACACGCCACAGCCCACGATGAGCGTCACGGATGGCACGGTCGCCTTATCCATGTTCTGGGGAGCAGGGGAGACAAGGGGTGAAGACAGGACCCACGGCTGGAGAACAGAGGTCTGGCCAAGGCCCCATGTAGCCCCAGGGTCTTGTGCCCTCCCACCCCTGTTCTTCTTCCTCTGCTGGGCTGTCCCTAAGAGCAGTTCTTGTCCCTTGCTGAGGACAAACCCTCCCCATGGTAATGACAGTCACAGGCCACGCCTGACAATAGCCCTCACCTCCTTCATGTCACAGCCCTTCAAATTCCAATCCCTCAGTTCCCACCACATCACAGGTAGGGGCGAGGGAGGCACAGACTCGGCCCTGCCCCCACAATTAACTCTCAGGCTGGGGCTCTCTACACTGCCAGGGCCCCAGGATGGTGTCCACCCCCGGTTCCCACTATATCTAACTGGGCAGCCAGCCAACACCCCCAACTCCATGGCCACCCACCCCAACATTCTTCCCACAACTCCATCTCTCACCGCGCTGCCAAAGCGCCTCTTTCTTTCTTCCCCTTGCTCTCGCAAGTACCTTGATTCACCTCCGTATCTTGGATGCCCCCTCCCTGCTGGCCTCGGTACCCCCAGTCGGCTGCAAAGGCCACTCAACGGGATGCCTTGTTTCTACCTGAGAGTCTTTGCACCTGGGATTCCCTCTTTCCAAACTCACTTCCCACCAACATAAGACTGGGGGCCTTGGCCATCCTGATCTTGCTCATCCCTGTGCAGGGGCAGGGCCCACAGACACCACCATGCTCTACCATACGCCCGGCACAACCCAGAGACAGCAGGCTGGCCCTGCTCACACAGGGCAATGCTCACTGCAAATGATGATACAGCTAGCTCATGGTTCACACCATAAGCCACGCAGTGCCCCAGGCCACGGGTCATGGGGCACTAGCGGGACCTCTACCCACCCCCCAGTGCTTCCTGCCACCTTCCTTTCCCTCTTCCAGAATGAAAGGAGGCCTGAGGTGGCTTAACTGGGCTCTACCCACAGGGTGACACGGGCCACACGCTTGGCACACCCACAGACACCCACCTACCCGATATCTATACAGACACACATACCCCTTGGCACAAGCAGGCGGACTTGTGCTGCCAACCCTGATTTGCCCTGGCCCTCACACCAAGCCTGCTCACAGGAGACCTGGGTGACCAGCTGTGTGACTCTGCGACCTCAAAAGTCTCTAGCCATAACTGGGAAGGGCAAGTGTGGACAGTGAACGGCTGGGCATCATCCTCCCGGGCGTGAGCCCTCTAGGATCACAGTCCTTCACACTTGGCTTTAACCAGTGGAGAACCTGGGTCCAAACTGAGAGGAGGCCAGGTGACAGGGACAGGTGGGGGAAGTGGCCAGCAAGTATTCCAGAGCTCTGGGGAGGTCACAGCCAACTGAGCAAGTGGCTCACACCCATGCCATGACTGACTCCACTTTTCGACCTCTATGGCCATCTGCCTTGTCTGCCCTCATTAGGTCTGGCAGCTGCCAGACACCCCTAGCCCGTCTGCTCCTCCCAATTGGCTCAGGGTCATTCATGACAGACTCGGCTCTGCACGTTACGGGGGTGGGGGTGGGGGGCTGCAGCAACCTCTGAAGCAGAGATTTGTCTGTCAAGAGACATGCCAGGTCTTATTAGGAGGGTCAGACTGGAGACCCCAAGGACAAGAAACAGGCCCCAAATCCTAGAGAGGAGACAAGACCAAGCCGACTCACTGCAGGAGATCAGCTCCAGAGCCAAGCTCAGCCTGCCCCAGGGCCTTTGCACAGGCTGTTCCCATCACCCATCACTGTCCCTCTAACCTTCACATGACTGGCTCTTCTCTGAGCTAAGAAGTCACCGTCTAGAAACTCTCAGAACATTCCATCTGAACCAGCCTCTGGTTCTCTGCCTATGACTTTTCCTTGAGCACTCTGGATAAGGGTTGCCCACCTCACCAATGACCTGCTTGCATTGCACTTTCCACAGTTGCTGCCAATTTGCACCCCATAAATCCCCTACTCCAAGTCTCCAGGTGGTATAGGCATCTCCCAAAGAGTGGCTTCTATCCTGCAATGCTGGCTTCCTTCTGCTCTGTTCCACTGTTATCTGTAGCCCCAAACTAACCCCGCCTCAGACGCTAAGATCCGAACTCTGTCGCACCTTCTCCCATTACACCTCACCACTAACACATACTAAGTCTTGATCCCAGTCATATGTCCACTCTGCTTCTTGACCTGGGGCACATTCTGAGTACTGACACCAGCTAAACACTGAGCCTTGATCCTTGTCATAGGCTGAGCTTGGGCCACGGTCACATATTGAGTCCTGACCCTGGTAACAAGTTGAGCTCTGACCATGGACACACACACTAAGCCCTGATTCTGGTCACAGGCTGAGCCACAATCCCAGCCACACACAAATCCCTGATCCTGGCTACACTTTGAACCCTACTCATTTACTGAGCCCTGATCCTGGTCATGCTCTGAACCCCGTCCCTACTCATACTCTGAGTATAATCCTGGTTACACCCTCATACCTGACCCCACTGCACCTGGGCCCTGACCCTACATCACACACGTGCCCTCATTGTGCTCACAGGCTGAGCCCTGATCCTGGTGACATACTGAGCTCTGAGCTAGGTCACACGCTGATACCAATCCTGGTTACTTACACACAGGACTATGGCCTGGTCCCCTGAGCCCGAGGCATGTCCCAGAAGCAACGACATCAACGGCTGGCCTCGCATTCTGTTTACTATGGCCGGGCTGTGTGGGGCACCATAAACACACCGCCTGGTCCATCCACAGAGCTCAGGCAGGTGGTGCATCCCACTCACAGGTGTGACTCAGAGCGGTTACTCACCTCCCGCAGCCGCATCCCAGCAGCATCTGCGCCCACACCCTGGCTCAGGGCCAGCTCCCAGCTCCCAGGTCCGTCTCCCTCATAGCATGCCTTGACCAGTTTGCGACCCCAGCTTTGGGTGCCACACACTCTACCTCCACCTCAGGCCCTTTAGACAAGAGTCCCCTGCTCGACTGTGTCTCAGGTTCATTGTCTCTGTCGATGCTTCCAACTCTCTGGTCCAGCCCGGGCGGCCAGGGAGAGGACCACCTGACTCTCTCTCTCTGCAGCTACCTAACTCAGCCCTGGCCACCTCTCTGTATCTGGCTAGGCTGTCCTTTGCTTGTTCCTACCAGGGTCCCATGTCTCCACTGCTGGTCTCTGCCCTGTCCTCCCTGTCTTTCCTTCCATCGGCATGAAGCTGAGTCCTCCCTCTCACCCTGTCTCTCCAGTCCTGGTCCCGTGCCTCTCTCTTATCCCCCATATCCCTGGCATCTCTATGCCTTTCTCACCTAATGGGACGGCTGTCACCTCCTACCCCAAGCTAGGCTAGTGAACTCCTGTGTACCCCCTCAGGACCTCACTCCAAACCTCCTCTTTACATGCTGCCTTCAGGGAAGGAGGCTCCTGCCTGCTTCCCCCAGCCTCCTCGCCTCCTGAGTGGTTACTTTGCCATAGGAACCCATGCCCCAGCCCTGGAGGGCACCAGCAGGGGCTGCCTAAGCCCCCAGCCCTGGGCACTCCAAATGTCAGGAGGGGCCAAGCAAGCCAGCTAGAGAGCAGGAGAACCTTGACAGGTTCTCTGAAATTCTGGCTCCTCTTCACTTGGCATCTTAAGTGGGGTCTCAACCCTAGGGCAGCCAGCATGGGTCAGGTGGGAAGGAAAAACAGACCAAGAGGGGTTCTAGGAGGAGGTAAGCAGAAGCCACACCCACAGTGCTTTCCCCCACCCCCACGTCCGGTCCCCTCCTCCAACCCCACACTGAACCAATGCAAGCTGCCTCTGGTGGAGTCGGGCAGTCAGGCAGGTCCGATCCTATCCCATCACCCGAGTGAGGGACAAGGCCCCAGGAGGTACCACCTGGCTCTGAACTCAGCTTCTACTGCCTTATCTGGACTACAGAGACAGAGCTCTGAAACGACACCCTGCAGAGACACTGCTTTGTGACCACTAACCTGATACTAGAAGCCCCCCACCCAGGGATGCCATGGATGCCTGCGACACAAAGCAGAGCTGGGGCAGTCCATCTGCCCCTCCCCCTCGGGGTGGCCTCATTCTCCCTACCCCAGGCACATGTCATGGCCAGCTATACCTGCACGAGGGGGCCCCCACATCCAAACATTCGGCTCGCTCCCAGCATCAGGAGCACCACACCAGCTATGATGGCTGCTCCAGAGGGTCCAGCTCACAACAACGGTGCTCTTCCCTAAGGGCAAATGGCCCCCTCCCTTTCAGACCGAGAGACTCTTAACAGGCAGAAGGCCGGCCCAGGATCATGTTGTGCGTAAGGAGCAAGCACATTTCTCCAGTCTACAACTCCGACCTCCCACAGCCCGACCCTGGGCTAGGAGAAAGGAAGTGGGGACATGTCCTTTGTCATTCTCCCTGTCCTGGTTCTGATTCCATGTCCCAAGGCACAGCAGCACAGGAGACTGGGCTGGACCGAGGTTGCCCAGGCCAACCTCCAGGAACCCTAGAATGGCCATCTACATAGAAGCCACCTCTCGCAGGGAGTTCCCAGAGTGGCGCCAGCCACTGCCCTGGCCTTGCCCACAGACCTGCCAACACAGGCAGTCCCACTGAAGGAACTGACCAGTTGGGGGGCACACGGGGCCAGTACCAAGAGCCCAGACCCTACCCTAGGACCTGGAGCTGGCCCTTCTTGGCCTCAGATTCCATGACTGCCGTAAAGGAGTTTGGTAGCAACGAATGAGGTCCCTCTGGCTCTGATCCCCCCTCCCACCGAGACCCCAGCTGTAACACTGTGCCTTCCTTACTTTCCAGAGAATGATGAGGGGTGGAAGGGGGCAAGAATTTTGAGGTCCTGAGCTTCGTCTACACGGAGTTTGGACTCTGAGAGGGCCAAGATCGGTCTGCCCACATCCAGGAGAGAGCCAAGTCCTCTCTCCAGAGTCCTCCATTCCAGCCCAGAGGCCCCTTCCACAAGAGGGCTGGGCCGGGGGCCAGAGCTCAGACCCTGGCTCTTTCTCTTCCTGAGCCAGCCTGGCCCAGGGACGGTGCAGCTCCAGCCCTTACCCCCATTCTCCTAGCCTTCTCGGGGCTGGAGGACAGGAAAGCCCACCAGTCTAGAGGGCTCCTCGGCCAGCACCCAGGGCCCGAGGCAGCAAGCTGGCCTGAGATGCTTGTCACCATAGAAACCAGCAGCCCCCACAAGAATCACAGGAACAAAAAAGGAGGCCCCTGAGACCATGGGGCCTGTCTAGGGACTTGGGCCAGGCCCAGCAGCCTCAGCCACCCCCAGAACCCTGCCTGGGGACACAGCCACCTCCGCAGCCCTGGCTCCACTGGGGCGGGGGCAGGCAGAAGCGCTGTGTGAGAAGGAGCGCCTCTTCCCCTTGTTCTCTGGCAAGCCAAGCGAAGGGGTCCACAGGCCCGCCTCCCAGCCCCAGTTCGGAGGTCTCCAAGGCCCCAGGCCTCCAAGGAGAGTGGAGACAGGACCCACTTGGCAGTCACTTCCTGGGGGTCTCTAACTCCACACTGCCGCCCACCAGGCTCCCACTCACCCTCTCCAAGACTTCAACGGGCCACCGTGGCTGCCTGGCGCTGGGACCCCTGGGGGG